ACCCCTTAAGGACCGGCCTGTTTTTGCGATGTTGTACATTAAGGACCAGAGCAGTTTTGTGGTGTTTGTGTTTAGCTGTAATTTTCCTCTCTCATTTACGGTTCCCATACAAGTTATATATTGTTTTTTTCAGGACAAGTAGGGCTTTCTTTACATACCATTATTTGTATCATGTCATATATTTTATTTAAAAAATAATAAAATGTGGAGAAAAATGAAAAACAAACATGTTTTTGGACTTTTACTTGAAAAATCTTTTACTTATCTACAAAAGCTAATGAAAAAAACTGCTAAATAGATTCAAAATTTTGTCCCGAGTTTAAAAACACCCAGTGTTTATCTGCTTTATTGCAAGTTATTGGCCTATAAATACAAGTAGGAAATTGCTGTTTCAATATATATATATTTTAAATTTATCAATAGTGACATTGTAACACCGTTATCTGTCATAAATCCCCGAATCACACCTCACATGGACATATTTTTTTAAAGTAGACAACCCAGGATATTCAATATGGGGTATGTCCAGTCTTTTTTAGTAGCCACCTAGTCACAAACACTGGCCAAAGTTAGCATTTATATTTGTTTGTGTGTTAAAAATGCAAAAAACGCTAACTTTTGTGACTAAGTGTTTGTGACTAAGTAGCTACTCAAAAAGGCTGAACATACCCCATTTGCCATACCTTGGGTTGTCTTCTTTTGCAAATGGTATGCCATCATGGGGGTAATTCTCATTCCTGGGCTACTATACGCTATCAAAGGCAACCTAACCAATCTGACAAATTTCAATTAAAAAAAAAAAAAAAAAGTAAAATCAAGCCTTATATTTGACCCTGTAACTTTCACAAACACTATAAAACCTCTACATGTGGGGTACTGTTATACTCAGGAGACTTCGCTGAACACAAATATTAGTGTATCAGAACAGTAAAATGTATCACAGCAATAATATCATCAGTGAAAGTGCAGTTTGTGTTTCAAAAATGCAAAAAAAGTCACTCTCACTGACAATATCATCGCTGTGATATGTTTTACTGTTTTGAAACACTAATATTTGTGTTCAGCGAAGTCTCCCAAGTAAAACAGTACTCCCATGTACAGGTTTTAATGTGTCATAGAAAGTCACAGGGTTAAACACAGTGCTAGCAAATTAAATTCTCTGGACTTTCGGCCTGGGTTGTCAGGCATGTCCCTCAAATTGCACAATATCGACACTACTATGGTTAATAACCATAGTGTAATATACATGAATACTTAACTTCAAAAATTATAAAACAGCCGCCCAAGATCCTTACCCAAGGAAGACGACCTTTTCATATATAGATAACCAAAAACACACAAAACTTCGGGATACGGCTGGAAATGAATCTAAAAGGAACACAAAGATATACAAATAGTGAAGTACAGTTAATACATTCAAACATGCGCTGTACATAGATGCACTCACAAGAAGGTGTAGAATATATCGCTCGTAGGGTGCCTCCTCCGATAGAAATGGGGGGCCAATGATCCCTTGTTTCCTTGTGGAATACCGTAGTAATACTATGGACTCCAAGCAGGAAATGGTAGGAAAAAACGATGCTTTGATTAATAGGTGAAAAAACACATAACAAATATAATATAAGAAACAAACAGTATGGTATATGCTTTTGCTTTTTTGAGTTTATTTCAAAAGTTACCATATTGTGATCACTATTTCCCAAATGCTCCCCTACTTGAATGTTGGTTAAAAGATCAACATTGTTTGTTATAACGAGATCCAGACAAGCATCCTTTCTAGTTGGTGCTTGTACCAGCTGTGACATAAAGGTGTCATTTAACACATTCAAAAACCGGATTCCCCTTGCAGAATTACTAGTCCCTCTATCCCAATTTTTGTCCGGGTAATTAAAATCTTCAATAATTAACGTGTTACCCCGATTTGCAGCATTCCCAATTTGCGCTAACAGCTGTTCTTCCTTATTAATATTTACATTAGGTGGTTTATAACATATCCCAACCAATAATTGATTTCCCTTTGTTTGCCCCAAGCAGATATCTACCCATAAAGCTTTCACATTTTCCTCGTCACACTCCACATGCCTAAGATTTGACTTTAACTCATGGCTGACATACAAACTTACCCCACCACCCTTCTTGTTTTTCCTATCGTTCCTAAATAACATGTACCCATTTAAGTTAACTGCCCAGTCATGTGTCTCATCCCACCATGTTTCTGTTATACTTATATATGTGTATATGTGTATATATGTATATATGTATATATATTGTGACAGAACCATCTGTCTGCTTGCATTCGTCTGTTTGTTTCCCGTTCGTATGAATGGCTGGTTTCTATAGCCCAGCCATTCGAATGACTCTTTTTTTTTTTTCCCGAACAAACCTGCCGAACGAACGGCCACCCAAGAGAGGAGTGTGCTGCTGGTTAACGTATTGATCCCAATTAGAACGTTGTGGTTAACCGCAGACACTTCTCAATTAAACCGAATTCAGGGTGGTCGTCGTTCGTATGTCGACCACGAGGCAGCGGCCATTTTAAACCAAGCGAAAGCCCAGCGTTGTTCGGCTCTATTTCTATGGAACTAAAAACGGACACTTTTTCTGCCGAACACCGCTGAAACAACGGAACGCCTGGCTGCCACCACGAAAGCATGCGAACACCGGTCATTCGGGAGATTTGGAGCATACGAAAAGACTTAACCCAGATAGCCTTCCCATGGAGTCATTCGTATACCGAAAGACTGTAATAACTTTGACTCCATAGCGATTGAACTATGTGTGTGGGATCTGAGCGCTATTCGCTAATAATATGCACTCAGATCCACGCTATCTGGGGATAGGTGATACGAATGGGAAATGTTCGGTTTTTGTGTAGTTATATATTTTTATGTCTTTTATTATTTTATGTCTAAGATGGCGACTGGCTTTGTCCTGGAGTTAATTGAGTTACTTGGTAATTAACTCCAGGGCAGAAGGGAGGGAATCATAATGCACTATGGGTAAAATCTGTGACTGTGTGTCTGAAATGTCCCCCTATCTGTCTGTCATTTAAGTCTCCCATTTGGTCCCCTAGGGGAGTGTCCACCAGGTGGGAGACCTGCATAAATACGGGCAGGTAGCCCACAGTAAAGCCAGATCCTGTTTGACCCTCAATGCGGAGCTTCTGTCTCGTTATTGGGGGGATTTCTTCTTCACGTTTAGAGACTGCTGGATGGAACGGAAGCCGCTTGGTGAATATTGCTGTTCGACGGTTACCAGCAGTTCGTGTATTGCCGTTCGGGAGTTTGGAGCCGTTCACGGATCTCGTTCGGGAGATTGCCGCTTCCCCTGCATTTGGTTCGTGTATTACAGATTAAGCGAACGGAGACTGTACTGCAGCCGGGGAAGGTCTACTAAACTGCGGTTTTGCCTAAACACACTGGAGGTGTCTTAACATATATATATACATATATATGTGTGTGTGTGTGTGTGTGTATATGTATGTGTATGTGTGTGTGTGTATGTATGTATGTGTATATATTTTTTTTATATATATATATATATATGCAGTGTACATCATATTACTACTGATCTAAATCCTGACAGGAGGAAGCAACTGTGGGACGGTGATTGTTGTGCTTCCTCTAAAGAATGTCATGAAAAAGAAGCTACTAGTCATACTGTTTTCTCACAATTACCCCAATAGAGTAATTCCTTAATAAAAACCACATTAACATAATCAGCACCCAAACAATCTGACAAGGTTCCAGAGAGTGGTAGTGACATTACTATGACTGATCAATTCTCATTATCTAGATGAAGCATCAGGTGGATATATCTGTTAGCAGGATCCACTCCAATAGGATTATGACAAAGTTAATTAGGATTCCAGCATCGTTTAACTAACAAAGTATCTGGACCTTATTTTGGGCTCTACAATTCCACAGAGTGTATACTAAACCATGCAATAACTCACATGAAAAGCCTTCAAATGTATTATGGTTGTACAAAATCATACTTTTTAAGAATTTCAAACCACATTGCCACAGTTATGTTGTTATATTGTCTTTAATATTTATACATTCACTGTTCACCCTTTTAATAGCTGTGTAGAATATGCTGGTGCACTATATGTGAAAGATAATTATCATAATCATTAATTTATGTCTGTTAATCTCATACCTTTATACTTCCACTTTTACTCTACAATTGGCATTATTCAATTTCTTTCTTTATATATGCTTCTACCACATAGTATTCCCTTAATGGCCATTTATAATTTAATACAATTTATTGCCTCTTTGTAGCAACAGAACATTTTTTTTTAATCTTATAATTTTTCATTTCATCCATTCATTAATTCTCTTTTTAGTAAGCCTATGCACAATGTGCTTCAATGACATTGTGCTTCTGCATCAAATACCATGAAATGAACTAAAATCATTGTGCATCAGTAGCCAGCATATTTGTGTGACTGTTAATATGTTCTGCTTTGATGACACTTCACTGTGATTAAACAGCTTTCTATATCATGATATAAATCCCAATTTAAACATTATTTTTTGTTTTACATTCTAGATATTTAGTGTCAACTCATTTTAATCTAATGTGCGCTGCTAATTTAATCTCATATTTCCTCTGTCCATGTTCTCTATCTCTTCATTACTCTTTTCCTCCTGCCTTTTTCCTTGCCTGTTCTTCTATTCTTTGTATCTATGTATTATTTTAAAAGAGCACTGCAAGAACAATAGGTCCTACGACTGACTATAGTGGTTATGATGCCAGGCGTGCCCTGGCACTCTCCCAGGGTAAGTAGTCAAATCATTTTAGAAAGGTATGGCAAATTGCCTGGTTCCCACAGAGCATCCTGTGCAGAAAGTTCCTGCATTGAACTTATTTTAGCTCCACTGAGGGGCTTATTGTCTGAGAGAGTCATCCCTGCAGTTTCAAGTTTCGCTTAGTGGCAGGAGTTTCTACCAGTGGAGACAAGGATGGTCTGTAGCATTTATGGTGCTTGGAGTATCCCTTTAAGTTCGGTCTCTTCCTCTTTTTCATCTAATAGGATTTTATTAGTGCTAATCCAGTAACATCTGACATTTAGTGTCAATCCTATAAAACACAAGCACACAACATTGCCTTGCACATTTTCTTTTACGTGTAAAGGGAATGATAAGGCTCTAAGAAACAGGAATTCTTTACTCCATCATCTGCAATCTCCTTTCTGTAATTTACCAGCCTTCTCAAGTCTGTTATCTTTTCTTTCTGTAAGCTAATACTTAAATTTGTCTCAATTTTTTTGATGATGTCTCTCATGTTTCCCAGTTTCTCTCTTCTCTCCCCAGGACACATTTTTCAAGTGTGTTCCGCCTTGCATTGCATTGGGGAAATGGACCATCTTGCACTCTTCTTGTGGTCTCTTCCACCTCAGGTATCTGCATCTCTCTCCATGAGTGAGACATTCTCCAGAGGGGAGAATGCAAGATCTTATATAACAGTTGGGGAAGACAGGACCAAAAAGACAAACTGTTTGAAGGTATGGCAGAGTGAATGGAAAGCCATATAGTTGTTTCTACACTAAATCCAGTTTATACCCACTGTTATAACTTCAGGAAATGCCATGTTCTAAAGGCATACCAATGGGTGTGATATGTAGACATAACTTCCAGACAGCCTTTATTAACTTGCTATCAACATATGTTTCTAGATGAAATTTCATATGTTGCAATCACCATATAAGATATTAATATATATATATATATATATATATATATATATATATATATATATATTTGAGGTAATGCAATATATATATATTCTTATTTTTCAAAATTCTGTCAAATATATCTTAATGGGATAATATGTGAGCATATACATCATCCATCACCACGTATCTGATGTATTAATAGGACTAAATGATTTTTGGAACTTTCATTTTTGGTGTGCAAGTTATTTTCTGAGTTTGCACCCTCAGTATGTACTCACATCACTTACATTAAGCATTCTTCCTATTTGAACTTATTCCTTGCTGGTGGTGGCTCAGCACTTAACCTTAGTGCTTATAAAATATATTGGTTTAGTGTATCTTCCTTCTATGAAAGGTCAGCATTGATGCAGAGGTCAATTCAGGATCAAATGTCATGATAAATAATGGGAAAAGGTTGCTGACTTACCTGTGTTTTAATCAAATGCAATATTTTAATATTTTGAATGAATGGATTTATTAAAATGTATTATTTATTAAATCATGTTTGTTTAAATTAAATTGTCTTGTTATGAGGTAGTAAACTACAAAGATAGAAACACCCCTGTATAACTTTAATCTAGTGGGTAGCTGAAATACTTGTTATGAGTCTGGTCCAGAATACTTGTGGAAATGTCCATTCCAATAGATAAAGTGATAAAACAGTATAGATATCAATACAATATGGGAAATTAAGTAACAAATAATTACTTAAGTAACATTAGAATAGTAGAAATGTATGTAGGAATGAAATCTGGCAGTATTCACATAATTTTGTATTCCTTTTATATAGAAAATGTGAACAAAAAAGAGGATAGTAACATAAAATGTGTTAATGAAAAGCATGCATGGAAGAATAGGAGAGTATAGAAGAGAAAATTAGGAAATCAAATTAAAACATAGTACAAGAAAATGCTGAGAACTGGCAAGAAATCAACTAGCATTGCATTTAGTCCCTGCTCATTTCTCAAACTAGTTTGAGGTGGCAGTAGAGATAAACTGGAATATACTCTGGGTGACTGACATAATATGAGAACAAGTCATGAGACCCAGATATCTTATTTATTGTTCATTTCTGATTTGGTCCGAAGACATTGGGGTTAATTCACTAAACTATAACAATAATTGCAAAATTTGCTCTGAAATTACCAAAATATATGTTGGATTTTTCCAACACAGCTATTGTAGCATTAATGTTATTTTGGTTTCTGTTCATTTCAGTACACCAGTTAGTACTTTTGTGTTACGAGGATTCATGGAATCTCATCCATCAGGTTTTTAACATATGAGGCCCTGGCACAATTTTTAGATGTTTATGATAGTTCTTCTAGGACAAGACTAGAAGAATTTTACGAGAGTGTTATCTTCGGGACCCATATCCTAGTGCTGCTCAGAAGAGACACCTTTCATATGTAACTGGGCTACATCCTTCACAGGTGACCAACTGGTACAAGAACCGGAGACAAAGGGACAGGGCAGCTACCTCTAAAACTGGGTAAGTATTGAGCTGACCAATAGATCTTTTGTATGTAACTAACTGCACACAGGGCAGCTAAGTGATTAATGAGCTGATCAATAGATATATATGTTTTGTCTTTTATCCCAACAGTAGGCTACCAGTGCTCTTTTGTCCTGCTTAAAATCACATGGTGGATTAATTAATATGACAGAAAGGGTGTCTCATTATTCTCCTTTAATCCTACTGTTTCAATATAGTCCAGATTAAATTTTCAGGTGACAATAAATACAAATTTGTAAAACAACAACCAACTAAGGTGTAACAAAAATATGGATGTATGTTTCATATTAAGAAAAAAACAAGAGGTTAACAGTATTGAGTAAGTTAATAGCAACTTCTAGTATAGAGTGTGCTATATAATGCGTTTTCTACATCTTGTTTTGCCTGTGTTTGTTAAGGTATATAAAGTCAGAGAGCCATGGCAGGGTACATGTATTGATGACCTTTCCAGCCATTCTTATTGCTCAGCACCTGTTCCCTATCCATAAAATTACATAATTCTTATATTGGTTATTCTCAGGACCTTGACACATCTTCTTGTTTCTTTTTTCTTGATGCTCATTTTTTCTGCTATCCTAGAAATGCCTTGTGGCATGATCCTGTATTTCCTCTGGCGTCCCATCTGCCCAAAGGCTCATAATCATCTCAACCTTTCAGGCTGAACTGTTTTGTTCTTATACTTTGCCTATATTTTTAGTATTCAGCAGTTCTGATTCAGTGTGCAGTTAAATGTTGTGCCTGACAACACCCTGGGGCCAAGCTTTGACATCGGTCCTGCTTGAGTTTTTTTCTTGTTTGATGATTTGTGATTCTTCATAGGTTGCAAGATAGAACCTATGATGACAAACCAAATTGTACTTTGCTTATAAAGATTCCTCCTACATTATCCACCTATTTGTTCTAAAGCTCCAACATGCTTCTGTCCCAAACAATGGGCTCTGGCAGAGGGTGGTTGACTTGTGCTACATTCTGCTAGGCTAATACACAGGCTTGTGCCAATTGGGATACAGCCAATTTAGGAAATATGTTCTAGAATATAATAATCAAGAAAAAAAATATGTATGAGCTCTGCAAGCAGCAACCTGCAAAATATAACTATCAACATATTCCTCTGCTCTCAAGGTTAGGATGCAAGAGTACCTTTGCCCTCATGAGCTGAGAAAGGCAGAACTGGAAATGACATACCTGCCATTTTTCATGTAGGTTGGCACAGGAAAAAGGGAGATTTTAGTCTGTCCATCTCTAAGCTGGGTGGCATAATGACAGAGACAGATGGGTGCTGTGAGTGTTTCCCTCCCTCTCAATCTGACAGTTACACAGACAGGAGGAAGTTAGAGAATTTCTCACCCTTTTTCCAATTTACAGGATGACAGTATGACAATGCAAGCAGAAGGAAACGAAGAGCATGTTTCATATATATATACAGTACGTCACAGGCAGAATGGAGCTATTGATGTGTTAACCCTTGTCATACCTGCAAGCTTCTAAGCACCACTATTTTGGTTCTATTTCAGGCTCTAGAAAATAAAGATCTCAGAAGGCGACGATATGCGTGAGATGAATTAACTAAAACAAGAACATCTCAAGTACATTGCCTAGGTCATCACTTTTGATTTATTATTTTTATTAATATGATGGGGTGATAGTTATTTTAAAAACTAGGAGACATTTATAGTGGCTGGCGTGAATTAAAATGAAATTATTAAAACTTAAATATATGCCTATTACAAATGATAGTTTTAATAATCTCATATGTCTTCTGTTACAGATTTTGATTAACAGTATTTGTATACTTCTTTTAAAAAACATCTGCTTGTTTGATACTTACTTGCACACTCTTCATTTTATTAGAATAATGCTGGTGAAAATATAATCTATTATCAATGTTAATGTGGATATTTGTTAAGCAAATAAGCAGCTTGCTGTTCCTTGTCATTTCAAAGCAATAATAGGGGAACAGCAGTTGCCTTTAATAAACTAACCTATCTTTAGCATTGATATTTGGCATTGATGTCTGTTACTACTGACAATAAAGAAAACCAAACAGTGATAAGGCTGTACTTGTGTCACTTGTGTCTTCATAATTTGGAATGTTGCTTAGTAATGTTCATCGTATATTCTTAGGAGGTAATTAATCCCCTGCTGCTAACTCTAATTCCATCAAGTACTCAATGGATTAACTAGGGATATACTGTCTGGGTAGTACTAGACCAGAGATGTGTTACTTTAGATTCAAATGTTATTAGAGTTCATTTGAGTTGGAGGGCTTTATTGTTAAAAATTGTTATTTTCTGTTAGTCTATCAGACTTAAAGTGGCTTTGTCACCACCCTAACATTTTTGAGTATTTCATGGAAATAAAGTCAAAATCCAATATAAACTACTCATACTGACAACGATGGTGTTTCATTAAAGTTGTAACGCATTTACAAGGGACTGCTTTGACTTATGATCAATTCTTTAGTTGACAAAAATTATGAGAGCGACCTTTAGGTAAATATAGCTATTTTCGGCTAGCACAATACAAGTGAGAAGGTCATCTTTAAGAGTCTTTAAAAATATGCAAAAACCATAACAAGCTATTTTAAATGATCACTTAGGTCAGTTGGTGGAAATAAGTGACATTGAACGAGAAAACATGCTCATTCTTATAGTGTATTCCCATTAGTAGAATCATTTTAATTATAAGCAATATTCTGCTCATATACTGTATAATACTTTATATTGTTTAAATTGCTTGATAGACATTTAACACTTTCTGTATAATTTAATTGGCCTTTACCTTATAATCATTAAATGAGTGCTGTAATGAAGTCAATGGAGCACTTGAAGTACCATGATAACTACAGATGTTCCCTGACACTATTCCACTGTTACGAATCAAGGAGAGTATCAAATATGCAAACAATATTTTAGCCATTAATTTATTTGAGCTTTCACACAAAATTAAAATATAACCATAGACCAAAGGGACTATTAACATTTAGGAGGCTAGCAGAACCTGACAACATAGAAACATAGAATGTGACGGCAGATAAGAACCATTCGACCCATCTAGTCTGCCCAATTTTCTAAATACTTTCGTTAGTCCCTGGCCTTATCTTATATCTAGGATAGCCTTATGCCTATCCCACACATGCTTAAACTCCTTCACTGTGTTAATCTCTACCACTTCAGCTAGAAGGCTATTCCATGCATCCACTACCCTCTCCGTAAAGTAATACTTCCTGATATTATTTTTAAACCTTTGTCCCTCTAATTTAAGACTATGTCCTCTTGTTATGGTAGTTTTTCTTCTTTTAAATATAGTCTCCTCCTTTACTGTGTTGATTCCCTTTATATATTTAAATGTTTCTATCATATCCCACCGTCTCGTCTTTCCTCCAAGCTATACATGTTAAGATCCTTTAACATTTCCTTGTAAGTTTTATCCTGCAAGCCATGAACCAGTTTAGTAACCTGTGACAGACCGCCTGGCACCCCAACTGGGTACCTCCACCAATCACTGCTTCCTAGTAGCCTGGAGTACTATAAGCACCGCACGGGACACCATAAGCACCATAGCCCCTTAGCCACTGCAGCTTGGCTGGGGTCTTGCTGCGGTCCAGGGAGACCCACCCTCCACTGGGTGGACCTCTCCTACTCCAGAGACTCTAACAGGTATAGCTGTGTAGCTCTTATAAGGATAAACACCAAAAGACGAAAAAGATTTCAGATCTAATGGGTGTTACCACCCCTTAGGTCTTCTATCTTTATGAGTGCAGAGCTGTGTAGTATGTGAAAACACAGTGAATTACCTGTGATTCAAAGGCAATTATCCTTTATATTCTCCAATGTAATATATACAAAAGAAAACAGAAATATATACAGATAATTGTGCAGTATATCTATTACTTTAGTGAAGTGTTTAGTGGGTAACATATATATCTCCACTCACATTTTTTAGAGCCTTTTCAAGTGAATTAGGCTCTAAACTTTCGTGCATCTGTGTCTTTAAGGGTAGATCACACGACCCCTCTCTCCAGGTTAAGTGTGTATTTTTTCTCTCCCCAGCGTATATATGAAAGACACAGAATTATCCAACTAAGTGTAGCATCCTCTGCAATATTTTCATATAAATAACAAATTGAAGTGCTCACCTTATTTAGAGCCTTTTGGTAACTGGCTCTAAGTATATAGGCCTAGTGTCAGTTTGTGGGGTGACACTGCCCCTTCCCTGGAATCACTGGTGCTGGATACAGTGGATAGTATAAAATAAGGGAATTTATTACAATATATATAAAAACAGTATCAAAATATTTTTCTAGAAAATAAAAAAATTGGATAAGAACAAATTATTGCAAGTATTGGTGGTTCATGAAAAATAATGAGTCCACTTTAAAAGCCAAAACGCGTTTCGCCGGTAAAAACGGCTTCCTCAGTCAGCTTGTGAGTGTCCTCTTCATGTTCTGTAATTTAAGCGTCCAAAATCCCGCCTAAAATGTCATCTTCCAATCAGATGGGTCTTTTTGTGTCATGTGACGCGGCTAAAATGCCGTCGCGTCACTTCCGGTTTTCGGCACTACAAGATCCAGAGTGCTTTGCGCTTAGCGCGTCACTTCCGGTTTTCATCCGGTTCTTTGTGGGAAATATAGTCCGCACTGGGGGTTTTATTCAGTTCATATTAGAGCCCTCTTTGGCTCATATACAGTTATACAATGCAAATAGAAGAAAAAAAGAAACATTATAATAAAATGTTATTGTATATGTCCTATCATATATTACTATTTCTCCATATGTGTTCTAAATTTTGAAAGGCAATAACTTTAATTATATTTCAACTCTTTTGTCATACACTTTGATCTCTATTTTAGGCAATAGTATCTTTTACATAGAAAAAACATGCACATTAGACACAGTGTAAAAAGGTGACTTTTGTTTCAAAGTGTGCATTCTTTATGAAATAATATTTGTGCAAACATATTCCACATTTTGTTCATATCTAAAATTCCAACTGTTTTTTGTTTTAGTCTAAATATATAAAATTAGTATACACTTAATTATTCTTTATTTAAAGCAGTAGGGACTCTTATATGGAATAGTGCTAAAAATAGAGCCCAATGAGAAACAATGATGTTGATTTGTGTATTTTATATATATATATAGTCTAGTTTATAAGAAATGGCATAATTCGAAGTCTGCATTTAGACCTGTGGGGGCTAGAGTATTAAGATCGAAAATCCATTTTGTTTCAATTTTTCCTAATTTTCTAATTTCATCTTCCCCTCGCCAGTTAAGTGTGATTTTCTGGATAGCCATAAATTCTAGAAATTGAGGGTCTTTATTATGTATTAGGCTAAAGTGTTCTGAAACACTATGTTTATCAAACCCTTTTTTTTTCACACAAAATTAAAATATAACCATAGACCAAAGGGACTATTAACATTTAGGAGGCTAGCAGAACCTGACAACATAGAAACATAGAATGTGACGGCAGATAAGAACCATTCGACCCATCTAGTCTGCCCAATTTTCTAAATACTTTCGTTAGTCCCTGGCCTTATCTTATATCTAGGATAGCCTTATGCCTATCCCACACATGCTTAAACTCCTTCACTGTGTTAATCTCTACCACTTCAGCTAGAAGGCTATTCCATGCATCCACTACCCTCTCCGTAAAGTAATACTTCCTGATATTATTTTTAAACCTTTGTCCCTCTAATTTAAGACTATGTCCTCTTGTTATGGTAGTTTTTCTTCTTTTAAATATAGTCTCCTCCTTTACTGTGTTGATTCCCTTTATATATTTAAATGTTTCTATCATATCCCACCGTCTCGTCTTTCCTCCAAGCTATACATGTTAAGATCCTTTAACATTTCCTTGTAAGTTTTATCCTGCAAGCCATGAACCAGTTTAGTAACCTGTGACAGACCGCCTGGCACCCCAACTGGGTACCTCCACCAATCACTGCTTCCTAGTAGCCTGGAGTACTATAAGCACCGCACGGGACACCATAAGCACCATAGCCCCTTAGCCACTGCAGCTTGGCTGGGGTCTCGCTGCGGTCCAGGGAGACCCACCCTCCACTGGGTGGACCTCTCCTACTCCAGAGACTCTAACAGGTATAGCTGTGTAGCTCTTATAAGAGCTAGTGATTATAGCCAGTATAGCAATCCGAAGCAGGTATTGCTGGTATAGCTGGTATAGCTGTTCCCTGCAATCACGAGACCTGAGAGAAAAAACACAATCACATTGGCTCTCAGATCCAGGACACTCTAGGTCAATTCCTCCTCTGTTAATGGAAGATAATTGAGTCAAGTATTGTATTATGTCCAGATACAAAAACACACAATTTTATAAAACCCCCATGTGGCAAAACCAGCCTCGCCACTGGGCATTGGAGAAGACTGATTGCCAGCCTCCTGCCCTGTGACTATGGCCCCATGTTGAAATGCTTGATTTTCCCCTGCAAAGACCTGAAAGCCGGGTCATTTGGTACTTTCCCTATTTGAATAGTGATACCCCAGATAGCTATGCCATGGAGCCCATTCATATAACGAAAGACTTTGGCTCCATGGCAATTGAACTGTATGTGATCTGAGTGCCATTCAGTAATAATGTGCACTCAGATCTAAGCTATCTGGGGATATATTGAATGTACCTGTTTTATGCAATAGCTGCACAGTTATATATATTAAGTATTTTATTGTCTTTTGCTACCATGTGGCTACTGGAGTTTTGCCTCTGTCCTTGGAGATAATTACTTCCCAATTATCTCCAGGATAGAAGACTCTGTGGAACCGGTTTTGGGCAGAAAAGCCATGCTTCATTTGGTCACAAAGGACTTCGATCTAACTTTTGAACCACTGGACCAATTTGTATGATTTTGACGTATGTTTGTATTTGGAGTATGCTGATTCTGAAAATGTAAGTGAATGTGATGCATACTTTTAAAGTTATGAATATTGTGTAAAACTATTTTCCTACCTGTGATAATTA